GTAAAGCAGAATGTATCACTGTTGTAAGAACACGCTTTCTCTGCCCTACCCACTTCCCCTAAATGTATTCACTGACAGTTTTCTGTTGTGCAAGTTTTCCTATTTCCAAAAAATTCTCATTTACCAAAATATAAGGATACAGATCTAAACTTTAACGCAGACACAAACAGACTCTCAGCCAAAGGAGGAAAAGGCAAGTAGGGGTCAAAGATTGCAATTCATGCTGTCGGTTGAAGAAATGCCACCTCATACTGAATTAGCATAAGAAACGCATCTAGCTTGTCATTGTCTTTTTGAACTCTGCCCAACAAATGTAAGAGATGAGTCTGTGCTGCAGCCACGCTGATTGGCAAGTCCTTTTATGTATGGTATCACAAAGAGCTCGTGCTTAAAAGCAAAGCTACCAAGCTGGAAGGAATTCGATTTAAGAGCTACTAACCTTTTGAGTCTCAGCAAAGCGATCCGTCACAGCACCGGGTGATGCTCGCACTTATTTTAGGGCTGGGGTGTCAGATTTGACCTGGTTGTGTGTCTGTGCACGGCACGCACGCACAAACTCATAGACACAGAGGAGTGCACGTAAGGGGGCACAATATAAAAAGCAATGAAATAAGATCGTGTCGTGAAACAGTGAAGAGGTCAAGAATACAGTCATGCATTTCCTGCCTTGTCCTTCAGCGCTGTCATCTTGAATTGAAGTGGAGCTTCCTGCTCTTTCTGCAACATCGCTTCACTTCTAAAAAGACACAGACTAGGTTCCATGCTTCTGCTCTTATTCCGCACAGTTGGTTTGTTCTCATCCTGATATTCTCGTCAGGTAGAGAAGAGACTGCATTTCTGTGTAGAGAAATAGTGCATTGTTTGCAAGGGGAAGACATTCAGTTTGTGTACTGCCGAAACATCTTTGGCACATCTTTCTTATCAAGAATCTTTTTTAAACGATTCAATTGTTGCTGAAGAATTTCTTAATGGGTCATAAATAACAATCTCATGCTTTACACTGATATCTGTTATAAGGGCAATATTTAGGTTGACAGATTGTTGAGTTTCTGACAATCTAACAGAACCAAGAGAGGGCAGACCAGCGTCAAGTGAAAGATCATTTGAATGTCCATCCTTCGGATTCAAAATGTAATAGGTTTCTCCTTAGCCCATGTAAACCTTTCCACAAGATTTCATGAAGCCAGTATTTTTTTACTGCAATCATGCGATCAATCAAACAAACATCCGAAAACATAGCCTGCTTGTCTGAACACTCAGGAATTGTATTTTATTATGAATATAAATAACTTTTTGCTTCTAAATGTTGATCAATTGTTAGTCATTACGATCTGGTCCAGATTCTTTGTAGTCCTTACCACAAAAGTTGTCTAACATTCTTTGTGGAAGGAACACCAGTCAAAGGGTTTCTTTTTAAGACCTGGCAACAAGCCAACATTTCCTATTGATGGCCTATCCGTGATCTAAGTCTGTGTTTCTGTGTGTGTGCGTGTTTCAGCACCAGATGCTCAATACACACACTGGAAGCAGACAGTGTTTTACCTGGAGGACTATTTGACGGTGCGGAGAGGAGAGGAGATTGTCGGCAGTATTGAAATGAAGCCCAATGAGAAAAACAATGTAAGTCTTTTACAGCCTGATGTTCTGGATTTTGAATTATGGCCTTTGGAGTAAAGGTAATAAGTCTTTATCCTTTTTTATACCTTTTCTGAAGTCATAAACACAGGAACGTCAAGTCAGGAAACCACATTATTTGTATATCTTATACATCCTTTAGTAAGAGATTGTTTGCTCCTCAGTGTTGGATAGCAGTCAGGAAGGCAGCAGCACTGCAGAGACTTCCAGACAAACAACAACAGATTCTATTGTTGACCTTTTCCGTGTCCTCTCCTCCCCCTTTCGTATGAAGCTGGCTTCCTCCTGTTGTCTCAAAGAAACAGGCTGTGCTTACTTAACACCGTGTTCTGCTGTCAAGACAAAATGGAAAAAATGCTACGTGTTTGCTTAATCATTACTTCCCCTTTCAAAAGCCCTGGGGGCCGAGGGGCAAACATTGTAGTCATAAACACTCTGATCTAAATGTTTCTCTCCTGTGTTAAAGACTTGGGACAATGGAAATAAAGGTTTTGTCAATAATGCTAACAACAGACTTTAAGTAATCACTATTTTTCACATAAAAAAAAGAAAAAAAAGTTGTTTTTATTTTTTCTGTGAAAATTCATAAATAGTTTGCAATTACTATGTCATAAATGAGACTTAAATAATCTATGTTTTCTTCCAGCTCTATTACTCCATGAACCTCTTGTGGCGGATTTGAGTTGTACAACAACAAACATTTTGAAACATGATCCTAAAAAAACATATATAAAGATCATAAACACAATAAGACTTAGAAAATAATTCACCTTACTCTTTCTTTCTCACTTGCCTTTCAGGGCTTCCGTACCCCTCTCTTTGATAACCATGCTTCTTTTCTCTCCTCTCTTAACCTGCAGCGCGACTTGGACTTTACCTTTGAGCTGGATTTCAAAGGGCAGCTGTGTGAAGCGGAAATATCCCACGACTACAAGATGCGATAAGATGGACTGGGGGACAGTGGCGCCCCACTGAGTACAACCCCTGAGCACCAGAGGGAGACAGAGGCACTCCCACAGACAGGCCCATTGGGTGAAGTTAGAGCAGCAGAGAATCAGAAATAAAGACCAGGCCAAAGACCAAGCAGAGGTGGCCCCAATGACGATTGGCTACTCAGTCACTAGAGTGACAATAGTTATATCGCACTAGAGTCTAGTGTGCCATGAAGGTAGGAAGTTAGTCATGCTGACTGTTAAACACACCTGAATGTAACACAACAAAAAGAGGTCAGGAATAACTCCTAGTCTGAATGTTATTGATTATTGATGTGCGTATATGTGAGATGGAGTGATGTAATTGTGTGTTTTGCTCAGTATTTATTTTATTTTCACAACAATCTGGACCTTATGGAGGGATAGTGTTAAAGTTACAGTAGAACTCATGTATTCAACTGCAGTATTGTCCACATTCTGGTATAGATGTAAGGGTTTATTCTCATGTTTTATTATGTAATGTAGGGAATGATTGTTAGGCACATTTTTATTTTTAGTTGTGTCAGTTTAGCAGAAAGACAAACAGCAATTGAAAACAACAGCCAAGGACATTGTAAGTGTAATGTGAATGGTAACACGTGTTTGCTTAGTCGGTGTACTAGTAGCTTTCTGTCAGTGTGTATTAAGAGGTGTCACACAGCCCTGTGTTCTCAGTGTGAGCATAATGTTGACATGTTAATAACAGAACTCCCCCCATCCTAAATGCCTTGACTAAGTGCCGAAGGGTTTTTCTTTTTTTTCCCGTACTGCTGCATCTAGTTTTGTTTATAGTGTTATGTATGGGCGGCGCGCTTTTGGGTTTATTAATATTAGATATAAACAAGCTATGATGCTGCTTTAGTCCTCATCTGGGCACAATCCATGTAAAGCAATACATCCGAAATTCTTATTAAAGAAATACTTATTTGTTTTTAAATAACTCACCCTGTGTTAACTTGAATTTGTGAATAAAACCGTATCGCATGCCTTAATGGTGAACATGCCCATGGAGAATAACTTTGCGGTAGAACTACTCTTTATACATCCACAGGTACAACTTCAGATACAAATGAACACATGATAAAATATGACCCCCGGTTTGATGATTGACAGGTCACAGAACAATGGGGGCTATCTACCCTACCCACAATTCACACAGACAATTCAGCTGTCAGAACAAAGTGAAAAACAAACAATGGCATAACATATTATTAATATGTCGGGTAGTAATACATTTATTTATTTTCTTCTCACAGTGCACCAGAATGCGTAGTTTATATGTTAGTATTTCTAAAAATCTCCTGGGGGAGAATCCCCCCAGACCCCCTTCTGGGGTTGGGTTTTCAGCATGTGGGCTTTTTATGTAATACAGTTCAGCTTTAATTCCATCATCTCATTAAACCTTTTTTAAAAGCATACTTTAGTTCTGTGAAGGGATATAAGGGATATATGCACTGTACTTCACTTTAATTCATATTGTACGCTGAAAAGCGTATATATTACAGCACGATTCTTTTGTTGAATAGATTTGAGTGGTTCAAAATTCAGGTCGCGATTTATTGACAAAGGAAAAAGTGGGTCCCGAGGCCTGACCAGTTGAGAACCACTGCTCTAGAGGACCTGCAGTATCCCTGCACCAATATCTTGGTTTGTGTGTCATGAGATTAGGCATGTTTCTTGCAACATGCATACAAGTACACACTGAGGGGTTTCATTCACTCAAGATGTGGACCTGGGCAAAGATGACTCTTAATAATCCTATTAAAGCTTCAAACTACGACTATCAACTAGGGAAACATTTATTATCCCATTATCTTTCCCAGATCATAATTATGTGTGTATGATATTATTGTGTCCAGAGACAGCCAGGAAGCAGTTTCTAAACCTATATCTAACTGCAGTCATCTTTCGACGGCTGAAATCAAACTGTAACGTTTAATAAATGGAGGAAATATTTATAAAGCATGCATCGAATACTAGTTACAGAGAATAAAGTAATTAACTGAGTGCTGCTTCTTCATAGCAGACACTTTCTTTAATCCTGCATATCCTACCGGGTGCTGGCAGCTACAAATAAGCTATGTTTTGAGTCTATAATGCTAACAACGGACTATAAGTAATCATGTTTGTTTAGAATGAGCCCTGTTATTGAGAAGCACCTCTGAAATGTGTTTTCAAAGTCCGCTGCTCAAATTACACCGGAAATACGTTTTCAATATAGTTTACAAGTCATACAAATGCTAATAAATTGGCATGCTAATTCCACTAAATATATTGTTTTTCATATTGTCATGACAACTTGAATAAACAGCAATGTCCAAACTCATCCACTATGTGACACTGTTTGACTTATTTTCATGTAATTTAAACAGGAAGAGAACTTTACACTTGATATTAACATTAACATTTCTTTATTTTTTATATATTGACATGTTTATATTTACATTAAAGTGAAGTGCAAGACACTGGCAGTAGTGGAGCAGTATAAGTGACCATAGTGCAATACCAAAGAGCAAAATACACAAAAGATGGTAAAAAGGGCAAAAATTACAATATATTAGTTATTTTGGTACCACTTTACAATAAGACTACCCTTATAAAGGATTCATAAAGGGCTTATAATTAGGTTATGAATTAGGTTGGAAACACATTATTAATCAATAAGAACCATTTATAAACCAGTTCTAACATAGTTTTCATACATCAACACAGGCTCACTGTTTGGCAAGATGACTAAGCCTTATATTGGCTACTTAGCGAGAATCAACTCAGTGAGCAACAGATACCAAGGATGCTGGCTGATGAAGAAGACGAAGTAAGCTAAGTAGCCAATATAAGGCTTAGCAGTACAGATAAATGTGGGCTCACTATTTGGCAAGCAACCGGTCACAACCCTGTTTATCTCATGTCTTATAAAAGCTTATTAACGATTTATAAAGTGTTCCCAACCTAATTAATACATTAATTACAAACTATTCGTAACCCTTCACATTATTTTCATTCATTAAGGCCACAACAGAGAAGCACGTTTCTGCTGTGCTTCACTGGATGAGAGTGGTTTTGTTCTTACTTTATACACACAGACAAAACCTAAAAAAAACAACTTATCTTGGCCCTAATAATTGATTCAACATCTCACAGTCAGAACACACACTGTAAAAACCTAAAACCGTCATTAAGGTAGTGTTTACTGCGAGTTGGTTTGACAATGCATTACATTTAACTGTTGTTGACTTATGTCTGTGTACAAAAGCTGAACAGCTACAAAAAATACACATAACACTGAATGAAAACATTGATATTTAAGGGAACACGTCCAGAGGTGACATATAAAGTTTTCTCGGAAGCTAAATAAATATTTTGAGATCCGCGGTGCCAACATTAAAAAGGTATTTGACTTGACTTACATTTGTTCAGTTGTTTATATAAATATATCTTTCTTTAGAATGTTCTTACATTCTTCTTACTTATATTATTATTTTACTATATCTTCCTGAAACTTGAGGTTATTTTTACACTGCAATAACGTACAAACGGTATGAATTCTGGTGTTTACCCCGAGCGGCACAAGGTGGAAGACAGTGAGGAGTTGTGCTGACTTTCATAATAATGTGTCCTCAGTGGTCACTCCATCTGTTTCTTAGTAAAGGGTAGTGCTACTGTGTGTGTTAGCTGTGTTTACTGTTAGCAGCAGGATCTCTTCTTCTCTGAGGGTCCGCCGTCGACCAGCTGCACCGTCTCCTCCTTCTCTCGGTCCTCCTGCTCCTTCAGGATTCTGAGAGTCACAAAGAGGTATAAACAAATGGAGCAGTGCACAATTTGCAGCTTCGAATTATACTCTATTCTAACCTGCAAATGCTTCAGTTCTCCTCTATCTTTATAAATTGTTTGAACCCTGCAGGTTCTTCATTTCTTACTGGGGATTATCTGCAACTATCCTTGCTTATGTATCATGTATGTGTATTGTGTTTTATGTCACAGCATTGAGTGACTGACAGTAGAAGTATCAAGTCAATTGAGAATAAAGGAAGCATGTTAAATGTCTTCATTTATTTGATTTATAGAAAAACACTGACAATCTCATACAAAGACAGAAAAAAAGTTGGATTTAAAAGGTCCCCTATTATACTGTTTTTCATCAATATATTATAGGTCTCAGATATGTACAAAACATGTCTCTGAAGTGTTTGGCTCGAAATACCAAACAGATCATTAGCATCCCATAATCCTCTCTGTTTCAGCCCTGTTTCAAAAGTGCTGATTCTCTGTCTGTTACTTTAGATGAAAATAAGGAGCCACTCCCCACGCCCCTCTGCGAGATATTTGGTTAAAAAGAACACAATAGGCGCGTTCACACTTTTCCTGTTTAGTTCCGTTAGTACCCCTTATGTCACGTTCACACCAAAAAGAGTACTTAGTGCCGGGAACTTTTACCCCCATTTTTAGTGCCTGCTGAGAGGTGGTACTCTCCTGGGAGGAAAAAGTGCCCCAGTTCTGATTGGCTAGGCGAATTGCAAACCACGCCCCGTAAAACTCTGAAATGTTTTGTAGAGCCGCCATTTTATTATCCTTGCATTAGCATTAGCATTCGCCCAGCGCAGAAACGCAGAGAGACTAACTTATGGCAACACAAAAGAAAACATGGGAGCGGTGGAGTGATGAGGAGGTGTCGGCGTTCTGGTGATTTACTCGGAAGGCTTCAGTAGAAGCTGCTGGGAGTCCCAGCAGCTTCTACTGAAGCCAGTCCCAAACTCCGGGGACTTCCGGCCGGGGACTTCGGGTGGCAGTATACGCCGTGAAGTTGTTTGCGGCCTGCCAGTAAACCCAAAGCAGAAGAAGACAAAGTGACGTCAGGGGCTCATTTGCGTAATCTTCCCTCAGGGAACTTATTCCGGTGTGAACGCGATCGGCTCTTAGTTCCATGGGGGAACTAAGTGCTGGGAACCTCAGTGCTGGGAACTAAGTACAGCAAAGTACTTGGTGTGAACGCGGCTATTGGTGCTCTAGGAGGAGATTCGGGTGATAAGGTGTGGGGGGGGGGGGGTTACCTTGGTTGGAGATTGGCTAATGGTTACACAAGCCAAAAAATCTTTATGACATCATAAAGTGGCCAAAATCTAATCAGCTAATTTTCAGACAGGTTTTTATAGAAATGGATCAGGACAAAAAGAGAGAGAATCTTTTTTCCTGAAACGTTCAGAGTCTCTCTACACAGAGGCGACACATGTTTATGTATAAAATACATGAAAAAGTGGATTTTGCATAATAGGTGACCTTTAAGATTTTAAACACCTTTTAAAAAACACTGGCAAAGAAAAGACATAGAGACCAACTTTACAATTACCAACATTTAAAAAACTAAACATCGATTGCGCTGAGTTTGAAACAATTACTGAGCAAAAAACGTTGTGACTCATAAACATTGCTTCAGTCTTGCAGTGAAATCTGTGTTTTAAAGCCAACCTTTATTCAAAATGCAGATACCTATTGTGTAGCTATTTGCTCAAAGCATACAGCCCTAACAGAATATGAGTCGTTTGTGCCAGAACACAGAACAATTTAAATATGTGTCTCTCTACATTATTAAACTGCTTACTTCAATACAGTTTACTTCCAATTTAGGTTGTTTAAGCAGACACTTTTTCTCTTTTAAACTCACACAAATGTCATACATTTTGCTCACCTGGCTAAATGAATCATGGACTCTGCCACATTGCGTCCCGTGCACGCACTGCACTCATAGAAGGTCATTTGGCAGTCCTAATAAAGAGGCAGAGATATGTCAACAGTGTGCACATTGATCAAGGTTAAAGTCATGTTTGTACTAATAGTGGCAACAAAAATCATTCCTCATGTAACACTATTAGTCTTACATGGTTCTTTACAGTCACCATAGAAACTAAATTAAACACCAGGAGGGATAATAATACAAAGAAAAAAAGATGATGAAAAAGCAGCCTCAGAATCATCTTGGAGTCATTTCCTTGTTGTTCTGTAATCACGTTTCTTTCTTTCGTTGATCATATCTTTAGAACACAGCACTTCTGTATGTGGGTTTTCTGTGGTTGGATGGGCTGGAAATGGATTTGTCGGTGAGGTCCTTGAGCTTAGTGGATAAAATCAACAAACTGACCTTGGCTAATCTTTCGCCCACTCCTTTCTGAACTTGTCTCTCGATCTCCTTGTCCGTTTTGTTTGCCAAGAGCATGATGGGAATGTCTTCGCCTGTGCCCTCCTGTGAAAGAAGGTTATCAAACATCACAGGCTCAAATAAACTGATCTTTTACAGCTAAAACACAAGGCCACCAGCTTCCCTGTATTCAACAGTACACACTATGTTTCTTTGGACTCTGCTCAAGGCAATCAGAATAAAGAAAGCAAAAGCACACAATTCAAGTAAAACCCAACCGTTGGTTCAGCTTGTTTTATTTGAATGTGTGCAGCTCATTGTCACTGTTAACGTCTTACCTTTACATTTGTAAGCCACTGTCTGACAGCGTTGAAGCTCTGCACGGCTGTGATGTCATACATCACAACCACTCCGTCAGCCTTTCGAAATATCTGTTTGGTGATGCTACGATACCTGCAGGAGGGGCGAAGGGAAAAAGACGGGAAGAGGAAGTGCTGTGTTTACTGTGTATTCGCAAAAATACATGAATTTTGTCTTCACATAATAAATGAGTGAGGTGCGTTGTGACACAAATGCAAACTTAAACTCTGAAAAAGGAAAACATTCCATTCAATGGGAATTCAAAATATGTAAATAAACTGTTTTAAAAGAAAGTAGTTGCACAGTGCCACAACTAAAGCAAAAGTAGAGGTCCATTGAGCCCACTGAATTCAGTCATTTGATTGGTCTATTGAAATAATCCTTCTATTTGGTCCATTGAAACTAATTGGCTCATTGAAAGAAGCAATTATATTGGACCATTCAATCAAGCTCTGGGATTGGTTCATTAAAAACAAGCGCGGACTATAGAAACTCTTGGATGATATTGCATGCATTTAGCTTAGCTCTTAGTTGCTTTTTGATTTTCCTGTAACAAAAATACTAATACTATCGAACATCACTGTATTCTTTTTCTTACATACGCCTTTTTTGGGGGCATTTCTCCCCTGAGTTATAGCTGATATGGATGATTAAGAACATCTGTTGTATCTATATATTACATGTCTTAATTTTTCTTTTCACAGAAATGTAAGAAAGAATTAAAAAGAAAAGTATGATTATGTTGATGCATGAGACCCAATGTTTTCCTTGTGTTGATGCCTCACCTCTCTTGTCCTGCTGTATCCCATAACTGCAGTGCCACCTGGCTGTTATCCACAATAATTGTCTTTACACTGTAATCTATACCTGAGCACACACACAAGAAAATGTCAGCATATTTAATTATAATATATAACTGTGAACTATTCTTACAACACAGAACAAACTTCTAAATTAGTACCAGTATACTAATATATATGTTGACAGCAATTCATATGATTGTTGCACAATTTAAAAGTCACACATTATAAGTGAAAGGGCTTTTGCTGAAAAAAAAAGAAAAGTTGGTAGTGTTGTAAAACCTATTTTTTATTGTTTTTGAAAGCAAAATGTAATCTTCCAACAGCTTTAAAGAAAGAAGTTTAAAGATGTATATTCTACAGTGTTGCCATTGCTCCAGACACAAGTGTGTGTCTGCTGTATTCTGTACGTACCCACAGTGGCAGAAGTGCCCGGGTGGAAGCTATCATCACAAAATCGCCGGAGGAGGGACGTCTTTCCCACACTGGAGTTCCCAACCAGGACGATCTTGAAGAGGCGGTCGGGCGGCGAAGGACCGCCTTCCTCCTGGGAAAACAGGAAGCACGGTAACAGAGAATAAACAAAGCTTGTGGGATAAAAAGCCCTATATTTGTAAAGAGGGCTTTAACAGCAGTAAACATAATGAGAGTTGTAACAGGTCTCCTCCCTGTAGCCTGACTTGAATGAATCGATGTCCACATGCTTACAGTTATGCTGGTTTCCTTGCCAACAGGCTGACCCCTTGGAGATGTGGGGGTTTCCCTTTCCTCCACATGTTCTTTCATCTTTTGCTGTTGGGCAGAAGAGGCTCCCAGAATATCGCTCATCACCAAGTCTATATTCTCCTCATTGGCAGAGGCTTCTTCTTCTTCTTCTTCTTCTTCTTCTTCACTGCACTCCTGAAGAGGAGTTTGGGCCACAGAGCCATTCTGGAGTAAGCTGGGGAGGGGGTCCTCCTCGATGGAGATGATCCTCTGGAGGTGTCCTCTTGTGTTCACTCTGACGTAGGACTGGCTCGAGCTGGTGGTTATCTCCTCCTCATCCTCACTGCAGATAGGGAGTAACATTAAAGCTACGGTGCTAATCGAAAGAACACACATCCAATACACTTGGTGAAAAAACAGAGGATGCACTGTAAAATAAATGTGGTTTGCGTTCCAAAAAGAAACAAAGGCTTATCCAGTTAAATCTTATTTATAACTTAGTGATATACCTTTTGAAGATGTTTGTGTTTGTATGTTTCAGAACACTCATTGAAGGCCTCAAACTTGGTGTTTTCCTATAATTCTTTGCATTCTGCAGAAATGAAAAACATGATGTTTTTATTCATATTGCAGCATGAACTTCAGGGTTGAATCCTACATTTATTATTCTGGGCTCTGGTAATCAATGACATCTGTTTATTTATCTCATCTTTAAAAGAAGACATAAGGAAGGTATATTTTGTACACAAACAATAAATGTCTCATACCTGAAAGCATATGTCCTTCTCATCCCGTAAATGTTTGTTCATTTCCCTGAAGAAGTAAACATTTTAAAATGAGTGAGAAATCTTATCATTTAAATGCTGTAGCTAATTGACTGTTTAGCTGAAGATCTTCTGAAACAAAGCTTACACACTCAAGTATTATTGAAAAGTATTCATCATACATTTTGAAAGTTTTGAAATCTTGCATTGCACTGTCAAATTAAGAGAATAGAATATAATTCCTTTATTGTCATCGCACCAGGTACAACGAAATTTAAAAAAGCAATCCTCGCAGTGCATTTCCACATAAAACGAATAAATATATATCTATATAAACATATGCTCACACATCCATACCAACATGCATACATGCCCGCACATAATTTAAATACAGTTTACAATATAAAAAACACAGGGATAATATTTTGCATCTCTGATGTCGATCAGTTAATAAATTAATAAAACTATTAAGAAGTAGTGCAGTTGCAAGTTGTAACTGTGTGTGTGCTAGTTCAGCGTTTGACGGTGTTCAGTTCTCGTATGGCTCTGGGGTAGAAACTGTTTTTCAGTCGGTTTGTCCTTGATTGAATTGACCTGTAGCTCTACCGGAGGGCAGAAGAGCAAACAGGAAGTGTCCAGGGTGTGAAGAGTCTGCAATTATTTTGCCTGCTCTGTTGAGGCAACGTTGGCTGAAGAGTTCCTCCAGAGAAGGCAGTGAGCAGCCGATGACCTTCTGGGCTGTGTTGATGACCCTCTGAAGGGCTTTCCTGTCCTTTTCTGAGCAGCTGGCACACCATGTGGTTAGGCAATATGCCAGCACACTCTCTATGGAGCAGCGGTAGAAAGACACCAGAAGCTTCTCACCCAGACTTGAATTACTAACTGAGCTGTGACTGTAAATTATTTTTGACTGAGCGATACTGTTTTGTTATTTTCCGACAAAGTACACATAGCATCTGGACAGCTTTTTGAAGGCCTTGTGATTTGAAACCACACGATTCATATAAATGTCTCTTTACTGCGTTTATTTATTTTGTGGGTGCCACTCTCCATCCTTACCTCAAAAGGTCCAGTTGTTTGAGGAGGCTTGTTCGCTCTCTCTGCAGTCCCTCAGTCAGTCTGTATATTTCACTGTATTAAACAAAAACCCATCCTGTATTACTAACACATATATTTTCACAATATGTTGCGGTTATACTTTGTTAAACAAAACCACCCATGTTTTACCGCCTCTCTAACGAGTACTGCAAGAATGATTCAGCATTTTAACTTCTGGTTCACTTGTCTCAAAGTACATTTCTGTATGTATTTTGGGGTTAAATACGTTTCTGTGGTCTGTGCTTACAGTAACACAAACGTAAGATATTTAAATCTTCTGTTTTTTGGCTTTACTCATATAAATGTCCGCGCTATAGGATGAATGAGGGATTTCTGATACTCATACATTTGACAAGCTACAACATATCTTTAAAAGATTGTTGCTAACAAGTAACTAAATCAGACTACAGAGGTTGTACGGTCGCTATTTCACTTTTTTAAACTTTGGCAATTGTGTTTATTTTTCATTGTCCTAATTTCTGAAGATGATCTTGATGTATTACATTTTTTTTAAACTTTTCATTGCCTCAGAGCTTATTTCCCGCCATAATCTAAAATCCTATCAAAAAAGTGAATTGTTTCATCAAGGGCGATGCTAACGTCTGGGTTGGCCTGCAAAAACATTACTGCAGCGCTCTATTTACTGTGGCAAAAACAAGTGATTGTATCCTGACCAATGAGCAAGAAAAAGCAAATTGAGAGGCAAAATAATAAGTCAGGAGTTATGAAGGAGCCCGAGTGAGTAAGAATAGCTACAACTCACATCTCCTTCTCCTCATGAAGCCGTGTGGACTGGTCCTGCAGCAGACTCAGCTGATCCTGGGCCAGCATCAGCTCCTGGCTGGTGTGCTCCAGCTCCCGGGACAACTCGTCATTCGTGTTCTTCAGCTTCACGTTCTCCACCTTGGTCTCATGTTGTTCAGAGTGAAGATCGTGGCACTGATGCTCCAACTGGAAAAGGTGGTCAAAAATGGAACAAGATCAGTAAAAATAGTTTGAATGTATTTGCTTAAGATTAAATACTTGTTCTTATTTTATACTTAAAGAGCAAACCAGAAGAAGTAGGTACTTTTAATGAGGCAGTACTGACCTTTTATTAGATATTAGAAACATCTGGTATATTTTTAACTAATGCAGCTTGTGTTATTCACATGTTATACACTAGAAGTCCCTCTGATCACAACACACTGTAAATACAACCTGTAAGACTTTATGTAGGGAATATATCAGATTTTAGTGCCTCCTAGTGGTACACACATTCACATATTGTTATTGCTGTCAAAGTGTTAATTGATTTGACTAATTGTATGGATGTGACAGCATTATGGGACAAATATCTTCAAACAGCCTACAGATATATTTCAAACAAACTGGTTTTGTAACATTACATAAATGAACAGATTCATAGTAAATGCTTTTAAAGCTGTGAGCCTGTTTGCTAATGTATTGACTGCTCCTCAACACTGGGGACACATCTGACTTGAATTAGAGGTGATAAGGGGCAGTGAAAAACAAGAAACGTCCTTGTTTGCGTGACCAGAATGAATTCAGTTCACTAATTAGCCTTAAAAGCCTGAGAGCAAGTGTTTAAACGTAGGTGTGACAGAACCTATTAACATCCGGCAGCAGGCGATCAACACACACTGCTGCTGCTGAAGTGTAAGGTCAACAGAGATGCATCAATCAGACTGCATTCGATAAAACTGACAAAATCAAAATACAACTCCTTTTAAAAGGAGCGGTGGTTAATGCTTAGATGCAAATCGGCTCTTTCACAACAGTTGGGTTGTGGTAATGACTTGGTTTTGTTTGTTTCCTTTCTGCTTCCACATATCAAGTAGACGGGGCCCTACTGTACATATCAAGCCGAGTCAGTGCAAACATCATCATTTTGGGATACTTTTTTTCTTTTTCAGAAACTTAGTTTTTAACAGCAGAAACTTTTTTCTTTCTTCATGACTAATTAATTAGTTTGCAGATACATGTAAGCACGAAAATAGCCTCCATATGAATGTTTCGTACAGGAGAAATTCACAAACGTTTATTGTTTGTTCCTTAAATGATTGAGAACATGTATTTGTAGTGCACTGGACAACCGAGATCTATCATTGTGTTATATGATGACAAATAAAAAATGTGTTGATGATATAGAGGTACTAAATCACTTCATTAGTTTATTTACAGCAAAGTTATCTGTCCTCTAAATGTGTATCTGTGATGCTGCTGAGTTTGCTGATGGATAACTAAAGTGACAGACACTCTGTGGAGTGTTATTAATAGACAGTGAACTACATAGCACTTTTTGTGAAATCATGCATCCATCTCTCACTCACCCCTCTCTGCTTCTGAAAGAGCTGTTCTAGCTCCTTCTCCTTACTGGACAGCTGCAGCTCCAGGTCCTGACTGAGACTCAGGAAGCGCTCATAGTCCTTTATGTTTAGACATTTAAAAAAGGACACAGTACAAGGGTGATGAGGAAGAAGCTGGCAGTGATTTATAACAACACAAGACAACTAGTTTGATATGAGTACCTGCAGGACAATCCTGTCTTTTTCACTTTTTATTTGCTGCTCCATTTCCTCATAAAGGCGCTGGATCTCATTATCGTGTGTTGCTGATTTCCTGTACGGGTAAAAGCAAGACACAACGGTGTGCTGAGCATAGTTTGTAGAAGTTAAAAATACCTTTCATTAAGTCACTTTAATTCATACTGTACAGTTTTGAATGACCCCGTTGATAAGCACAAAGATGTGACCCCCCTGACCTTTTGAGAGCGTTCTCCATCTCCCTCTTCTCCTGGGTGGCCTCTATGATCTTGGACGTCACTCTGGACAGGAAGTCCTCAAAATTGGATAAAAGGTGAGGTTCGTCTCTGCGCAGCGTGGCCCACAGACTGCGCACCTCAGCAGGACTAAGGGACAGAATGAGCAGAGGTAACCAAGTGCATTATCAAACTCAATGTCTGCAGTCTTTGCTCGATGGACCTGTCAGCTCCGGACAGCGCATAATGCGTACATGAAGCGCTACGTCATGAACGCAATAAATCATACCCTCGTGGGGGCGCGCTCATGTGATTGGCTTAGAATGAAGGAGACATCTGATTGGCTATAGATAGAAACAATTACAAGTACGAATCGGCTGACCGTCAGGGGAGTCTCAAAAAACCCACACACGAATGCACAGCGATCCGTGCACAGAAAGCGGTTTGTAGGTTCAGACAGTGGTGTAGTGGGCGTTGGACGCGGGGGTACGCCGTACCCCCACTTATTTGGAGCACAATCTTTTTTTTAATAGTCTAATAAATATAAAATCATTGCCAGTGTTATCAGTTGCAAGTGTGTATTTGTTGTAATAATGACAAAAACATAATACATTTCACAGTAATTATAATACAAAATAAAAACGATTTCCTTAAAGAATTATGATTCATCATCACGCTCATGACCCCGCGGCGAGCTGGGGGTGTGTCCCACTCACTGCCCGCCGATTTTGCGGTAGCTCTTTCCCTCAAGAATGCTAACGAAAAAGCTCTATAATGGCAGGCAAACATTTTTTACTTGACTTCTTTTCTAAAAAGAATATAATTCACAAGAAAAAGGCTAGCAGCAAGTGAAGTTGCTACTAGCACCACATCATCAGAAGAGCCGCCTAAAGACGTGGATAATGCTAGCACTAACGTCAACGTTAGCTGCGCTAGCAACGTTCCGCTAGCTAGCTCAAGCTCACCTTTCCCAGAGGTATGGACGGAGGAGATGTGGCGGAGGAAACAAGAGGAATACCCGTGGAGACTGCAAAGCTGGGAAACTGGGCTGCAAAGTTTGTTCATCCATTTCGGATTTATCAGTCTTCAAAACGCAGTGTGTGTGTGTGTGTGAAAAGCAGCGCTGTCTATGTGTATTTGTAGGCCTAATAAGAATAATTTCAAGTCCAGATCATCGTCTGCTTAGTTGCAATACTGTCGTTTATGCAATTTAGGCCTATACATTGTTTATGTAATTTATATGCCAGTGTGTCCATGGTTTTGAGTCTGTGTGTGTGTTGAGCGCAGCGCCGTCTACTTTTTGCAGTACAGCAACTATAGGACTAAGCATGCCGGTAGTTTCTTTGGGCCTGTCTGCCCGTGTTGTGAGTGCACTTCGCGCGTGCGCACTTATGTGGCATTGTTTGGGATTACCTAATTAAAATAGTGTACCCCCAGTAAAACAAATCCCCACTACACCACTGGGTTCAGGGGATTTAAACGGAAAACAAATATGTGTGGATCAAAAATACATATGTAAAACCTTTTTCTGTAATTGGATTTTATTTATATGTATATGAAACGGAACACATTTGTGTGTGCATTGAAAAACACAAGTGTGGATCCGGAAACACAAGTGTGAATCCTTCTGTGTGCATGTGTGTATTATGTTCTGAGCCCATACTTTTCAAACACAAGGTGCAGCTCAAAGTCCTTTAGCAAAATGGCACACATAACACATTTAAACAGAGAACAAGAACATTAAATTAAGTGCCTTTTTGTGCACATAAAGAGTATAAAAACATATTCTAATAATTGAAGGAACGCAAGGATGTAAAAAAGGTATGATGATAAAAAGTTATAATGATCCTAAAGTTCACAACAGATGACCTTCTCACTAAAACAAAGGAAGACATAAGACCAAATGATTACAAAGAATACAAATATAAAAGGAAAAATATATATATGTACAAACAGGCTACTGAAGACGACCTTAGGGCTCGTCCAAGGACATAAAAGGACATAATCAGTGATATATGAGGGGGGCAAACCATTAGGAACTTTAGAAACCAGTCAAATGAATTTAATCAGAAATATGATTTTTAGTGCGGGTTTGAATGCTGTTGAATGCAATATTGAAAAATTGAGAATAACAGTAATAAAAAATATTGAAATAAGCATTTCAATCCAACTATCAAAACTGGGTGATGACAGAAATATAATACTATGTAATTATCTTTCAACAGGAAACAATGTAATGTGCCTGTAAGCCAGTGGTTCTCACACTTTTTCTGTCAGGAAAAGTTGGGCCCCCCCCCAACACAAATAGTCACGTAATGGGCCAAGTTCACATTTATTAAAATACATCAATATGAACGTGAGCATTCCTTTCAAAAAAATAAAAAAATCACTTTGCTAGGACAGTGATAATAAAACAATGCTCCATAAGTCTGTGTGGTCAAAACAATAAATACATAATACAATTGTGCAATCCCTTTGCTAGAACAATAAGTTATAATGGCGCGCCCCCCACTTTGAGAAACACTGCTGTAAGCCAACATAAGGTAGGGAAAAACAAACACTTCCCTTGAAGCTTTTTCAACAGTTACACATCCTTTAAATCTGGCCAACATCAATATCAGTCAGTGCTGCACAAACTCATCTGATCTGAAATGTCAACTGGAGCTAACCAGGTAGGCGGAAGGCAAAAGGATGTTTAAATGTGGCATCCACCTCCACCACTGTTTGCTTTTATTGAGTTGTTTGTTAAAGGTGAGTCTATTCATGCTCTTCATAAGATCCTGTCTTTATCCAGAGTTATCTTTTTTAGGCAAACAGACAAGAGCTTCAAATGCCTTTCAATATTGAATAATGCAGAGAATATTAAAATGATTCAGATACGTTTTGTGAAGTGGGGCTTAAGTGTGAAGCTTTTCACTAAGCCTAATGTTTAATGCTACATTTCTATGCTTCAAACACAAAACTATAAGTAACATACTTCAATATTTAAGCTGTCACACTACTTAAAGGGGCCGTATTATGCTCATTTCGAGGTTCATATTTGTATTTTGTTCATCTACTGTGACATGTCGACATGCTTCAAATGTTCCTCATACTGCCTGTGCTGCAGCACCTCTTTTCACCCTCTGTCTGAAACCAGAGCCCAGTCTGCTCTGATTGGTCAGCTGGACGGCTCTGTAGTTATTGGTCAACGCCCCTTAGCCTATCATGTACAATGTGTTGGATTGCTAGCCAATAGAGGTGCAAGTGTTACATAGTGATGTAATTACGTTATGGAAGAAAACAAAGGAGTCCAATCGAGGCGTTTCAGGCAGGGGTCGGGGGGTTTGGGAGAGAAACTCCTTCCAGAGATATCTTTGGGATTTTAGACTTTGCAGACCATTTACATTCACAACGACCTTGATGACACACTACAGAAAATGGAAAACACCGAAAAGCATCATAGGGCCTCTTAAAATAAAAGAGGCAGAGCAGAGATTGCTCACAGGAACGGCTTTGCTTGAGAGTGGAAACTTCCAACTCTTGTTTAGTTTGATCAGCTGATTAGGCTATGTTGCCTAAAATGTAGTGTAGACTTAAAGCAGACATTAACAAAGTGTGCAAAGATATGACGTTGCTTATCACCACACGGTGTAAACACAAAGAACACACGCCCATACAGTACTCACTCTTCAAAGACGCTGTTCGCCCCGAGGCTCTCCATGAGCATGTCGAAGTGTTTCTCCTCTTCATCCTCGTCTGGTCTCGCCAGGCTCTCCTCCCACTGGGTCTGGTACAGGACCTCTGTGGGGCTTTTACAGGCGTTCTTCTCCCCCATGCCTTCCTCTACTGAAACCTTCTGACCTGATAAAAACTTACCTAGAAAAACAAACAGAATCTAAGTCCACAAGCAGACTACTCTTTCTGTGATAGTAATGTTCTTTTTTTGTAGAAACAGAAAGAAATCGTACTAAAGCCGGAGGAGAACTCGTCGAGGGTGAGAAATCCATTGCCGTCAGAATCGAGGGTATCAAATACGTTCTCCAACTCCTCCGCACTGAGAGGGAGCTCAGCGTTCAGCCTCTATTTAAAAAGACACAAAACACAGCTGCTACTGACGAGAACATTAACCCTACTGTAGCTATAACAACTGCTACTTGAGCCCTAAGAGCACAGACATTAGTGCAGTAGCTCGTCAAGTGGAAAGGAAAACATGGTGGTTCTTTTTAAACTAAAGTAGCCGAAAAGTTATTTTCCAAATAGCTTCTTTCTTTTTCTAAGCAGCAAATGGTTAATTGACATGCATTGTCTCAATCAACACATTGCTTCACTCTAATCTAATTAAAGCAGTTTGTAATGAGGAACAGACAATGACTGTCCTTCAACACAATATCTTTAGCCCATTCTATCAAAAGGGACATGTTTGGCTTTTCATTATTTGATCATTCTGGCTATGTTGTATGCATATGGCATACATGTTTGCCAGGTTGTGTTTCTTGCATCCTCAAATTCTGAAGGTTCAACTTCAGCTCCTATAATATTATTATTAATAATAATCAAAATATACACCTGAATTCAAACTAATTCCCTATTAAAAGCCATGACCAATCAAGGGGCTGACAATGAGGCTATAGCACTCCACGATATCAGAGTTGAAATCTATAGCCCTGGCTACAAAATTCTAATGTATTTACTATTTTCCACCATATTGATCAATTTTCTAATATTTATCCTATGGGAAAAACACGTGTTATCAATAATTATCAATACATCATTTGACGACTGTTTTTGTCACAGATACCAGAGAAACCTTTATTAAGAGATGCCCAAGGGTTAAGTTAAGATAATATTTGAGAGACAGCTCCTCCCAAACCAAAGTGACATGACAGAATGAGAACCTCCCGAAAAACGATTTAACCATATACGGTTGGATTATTTAGACGCAAAGCTAACACAGCCACACCTCTGTTAGCAGCTCGGGTTTTATGCTGTGTTTACACTGCTGCAAAATGTTGACCAAGGGACCGGGAAAGGGTAGGATCTGTGTAAGACCATCAGCTGTTCTTGTAAAGTGTGTTATCTGGGCAGAACATATCCCTAAGGTCAGCAAACAGTAGCATTGTGAAGCTAGTGCATTGGTGGTAAGACTGAGTCTGTGGAACTATTGTGGTTGTCAAGAGTGCACATAAATGTTAGCAGTGCTTCTCACTGAGCTTCTACAAGCTCTAACAGATGTAAGGAAAGTGTAAAACAAATATAACTAAGAGTAACAAGCGCTGCTTTGAGTACTGCATTTACTCTTCACTAACAGACGGTCACATAAATAGAAGTGAGAAGTTCCTGCTCGCCATCTAATTTCCAAGCTATTATCATAAACACCAGATCAAAAGCTTCCCCTCTGGGTATTTATGCTCCTCGGAGCGAGAGTCCTACAAGTGCTTCTTCAAAGGATTAGCCACGGCAGGGATGAATATCCAAGCGGCGAGTGAATCTGCACAATAATGCGAGTGGAGTAGCTGCATGACAAAGCTTCCGGTGGCTCTTTCATGCTGCTTTCAATAGGTGCACATGTCCTATCTTTGTCCTGTTCAGCAGCATTAATGAGGGTGCAGACTGTCCCTGTGTTTTATACTCACTCTGGATGAATAAGCAGGAACACAATTATGAAACTGTGAAAGTGATCCCGTTTACTGTGGATGCTTAAATGTGGTCCAAACAGCGCTCATGCTTTGTTTTTAAGGAGTTTACACAATTGATTCAACAAAATGTTTCTTTTTTTTCCTGTGGTAAATATGCCTCTAACTGTAATCCAACTTTCATTTAACAAACGGTGAGTTTTTACACTACTTTGTAACACAGTTATGGCAGTCGCCCTCGCATCAGTATCCTCACCTGCATATCCCGTCGGGAGATGAAGCCCTTGTTCTCGATGTCACACATCTTAAAGAACTCGTGGGTCTTCTCCAAAATAGTGTTTTGTCCCACCTCCCCATTCTTTGCCTCGTCGCCGCTCCCTTGCCTTGAAGTTCGGGCCACCTTGGCGTTGGTCGTGGCACGAGGAGCAGTAAAAGTTGCCATGGTATTTGTGAGTCCGTTGATACGAGAGCGTATATTTCACATGAGCAGGGCACACACACAGACAGAGCTTCCAAAGGAAAAGGATCCTGGAGAAGTGGAGCTTCAGGCTTCGCTACATCAGAGGCTCTCACCAATGTCACAGAGTGTCATCTCTTAGCAACCGCCTCTTTAATTAGTCGATGAAACCTAGGAGAGAGACGGGAGGAGAGTCTTCAGTTTGAATAAGTACAGCTCCTCGCACAATAAAACAGCTATAAATATAAAAATGAGTGTACTGCATCAGAAACCTATGGTACAAAATATGAGGTCTAGAAAAGGAAGCACTTTTAAACTACATAAATCAGAAAGATTCTTAAAAAATATATCATAAATGTGTCTTCTAGCGTGCATTTAAAAGGAACATACTTTAGATTTGGTGGGTTCTAAATATGCCAAAAAAACACTTTTTAAACAAATGATGTTGTTAATGACACAATTAGAGAAACAATATATTCATTATTGTTCTTTCTTGCTCTTTCCGCCATCTGTCACACACATTTTCAGTCTGATTTATATTATTTTGTGCAATGCCACTCACTGCGTGCTCTACATCTGAGTCAACTGCTGCTCTTTTCCTTTACTTCAGCCCTCGCTGAGACTAATGCCTCGAGACAAGTTGAACCAAAACTCAAAAGAAAGTTGAGGTATGACGAGGAGGGTCTTGTCTACCTGGGAATATTGACTGATATAACTCACTTAGTGGTGGGTTTCATGGGGACTACAGCTCTACGGGGCACTGGTGTGGAAGACTGCCTTCAGGAGGCTGTTGTGCACCGTGAGTCGATTCATGAACAGAAGCATCAGACAGTGTGCGAGTGTGTTTACCCAAGCACATGTAGACTTGTGGGACTGGTATACGTCAAACAGCAGAAAATAGACAAGCATGTAGGAAGTGGAAAGACAGAGGAGAATACAGGGTGAGAGACAGAACTCTAGACAAATATCATCTATATTGTTTGCTCATGAAGCTCAGTGAAGCTTTTTTAGTTGACACATTTGATATGAAATGTATTTCATGTAAGTATATAGCACTTATATGGAAATAATATATTTGTTTATTAAACAATTGTTCTTCAGAGGTCCCTGTACATGAGTGTTAACATTTGGTTTATCTCAACATTTCTTAATACGTCATGCTTGAAAGTTTGAGCCAAAACATTGTGAAACATATTGCAGGCACGACACACATCCAGAGGAACGTCAGCAACCCACAATGAGCAAGAGACAACGGTAAAGCATTAGCGAGGAAATGAGAAAGGGAACTCAGATGAAGTAGTGAAAGGTTTGTTTTCCCTCAAGCATACAATTGTAATATTCTTATCTTTAACAGACTTCTTTAAGTCAGAAGCCCTAAACATGTGTATGGCTCCTTTGTTAAAACATGGTGACAGACAGGTGGCCAGTGACTTAGGACTAGATTAGAAAGATATCAGACAATAAAAAACACTTTCAATTCCAAAGATATTTGTGATGCAACGTAAGGACATGATTTGATACCCCATTATGTCAGTCTAACTTCACTAAATTGCAATCAAGCATTCGTTAACATAATATAAACATATTTGCACTATCATTTTCCTTTAGGTCCAACTTTCAAATGTGTTCGAGTACTGCTTTGCATGCAGTTACCTTATCTGTTTCAGGCTATGACCTGGAACAGCTGTTACAGCTACAGCACTCACTACTAGCTAAGCAGAACAAGTTCAAACTGAAACTAAAACTCTGTTTGAAGCAACATAACTACACTAACTAAAAGGATAGACATCAATTGATAAGGATTCAAGATAAATAGTCACTTCAATATAATGTGTTGTTCAACAGACATGTTTCTTGTGTGCATTAGCTTATGACACTCATATTGTGGTCAGGCCTACAGAGAGACACATTTTGTTTGTCGTCATGACCGCAACATGTTCCTGCAAAATACTGTATTGTGTTGTATTGATACTGACAAGAATGACAAAGGTATTTATTCAAACCTAGCAGTAGATCCTCACTTAACCTTATCACATGATTTAGTTCCAAACATATAAATGGTGTTGCACAGGTGAAATTAAAGTAGTTGATAATGTTGGATGTTGCTCAGTAGTACCCATATTGGATTGGTGTTACATGCTGAAGGTATTTAAGGTATAACAAGTTCATTTAAGTTGTCAAATGTAAAGCTACGCCACTTCCTGGAGAAAGGTCACGACCATTTCCAACTTTAACAACACTCAACAGCCATCTGTGGTCTTTGAGGAACTGCAATGTGCCTGTTAGACCTGTCAAGTAGCCTAATTGTTACATACGAAATGTAATTAGAACACTAACAGCGTGTAATATGTAAACATAATGCAAGTGGAGAGGCTTGTGATAAGCTATAGTGAGCCAAGGGCAGACAACAGGTTCCAGTTTCACACGTGTAACAAGATAAAACGTTCACTTCCTTCCCTGTTACAACTTTATTCTATTGTGAAACTTCCTGTAAAGCCTGAGTGCCAAATTTAGAAATAAACCTAACATAACCTAACGTTAGCTAAGCTATGAAGAACAAGTAGAAAGTAGTTGTAACATTAGGCTACAGCAACAGAACACACAGTCATGTTTATAAGGCTAAAGTGCTCAGCTAAAGTGTTACTTAGTTAACGGCATGTTGGGGGTCAAACGTTAACGTTACGTACCGGTGGATGAAAGGTGAAATTAAAGTTGGAGGAATTCATTGACGTGGTTGTTGTCAGCCGTATCCTCTTAAATTGACCTCAGTGTTTACAAGTGAACTGGCGTGAGTCCAGGAATTTGAGTGAGCAGTGACGGAGCAAAGCAAACCTGAGGGCGGGACTTCATCCAGTCATCGTTGGTAACCATAGTAATGCCATCTATGGAAAGCCGTCAGTGCCAAACTGCACAATTTAAATCCGTTTTAAAGTCAAACTGAAAGCTTTATATAATGCTTATTTTTACAGCTTTAAATATTGTCAGACAAATGTATTTTTTTACGTTTTAAAAATAATTGTTATCCTGCTAGAAAACAAGATTAGAGATGTTTCAAGATTCAAAGGTTTTATAATGCACATAAGCTACAGTGTAGAAATGGCAATGAAACGAGCTCCTCCAACAATGCAACATAGTAGACAGAAACAATACAACGAATTGAAAAATGAAATGGAAAAATAAAAAATGACTTTTATTTTGTTCTTATAATAACGCACACACGCACGCAAACACGCATGTATTCCTGTGCCTTTTTTTTCAAATGTTTGCCAATGATTATATTACAACACTCAATTTCTAGAACAGGTTTCAAATGTGTGCTGCAAAAAAAGGTTTGCTGACTAAATCACATTGTCACAATTTGATGTTGGTAGGCACTTTAGTCTCAAAAAGTGAGCATTTCATGATGCCCCATTCTGCAGTTGCAATTCCAATAACCATCACATGATGGCAGTAAAAGACCTATTGTGAATCCATTGAAATGTATTGCATTTTCTTCCACTATAAATTGGGAGACTCATGTTTAATCAGTTGCTTTTGGAAAAGGTTATTATTATTATTATTATACTTATTAACCTTGCAACATACTGCAGCAGGATTTATACTGTCCATCTGGACAGACAACGTGTAGCAAATGACACAGATGAGCCAGTCTAATAATAAGTGGGTCTACTCTACAGGGGGAACGGTCTTATAATGTTCCATAAAATGTGTCTGCTCCATTGCACAGCAGCCAAGCAGGTGTAAAAACTATCTCAGGCCACATCTCCTCCAGCCTCCCACACTTCATGGACTCAAACTACACGTATGTTCAACATGTGTGGCGCCGCAGTGATGAGGACCCTTGAGCTTTCACTGTCTCCTTGTCAAGTTGTTTTTAAGAGGCTGATTTGCAGCAAACAGATGCATGCAGGGACAATGCTCCACAGTTGAGATTTTGGATCCAGATGTATACACTTTGAGACACTTAGTACTGGTCTTTGGGGTAGCACTTCTTTCTCACATGACTGAAAGCAGACAAAAGTGAGAGAATTGGGGAGATCATTTTGTATATCATGTACTGGTTTCAAATTCTGCAGTCAGTGTTTTGGGTCTTTTTCAAGTATTTCTTACAATTGGCTAAAAAAATGGTCCATTGTCCTATACAATTTTCTGAATTTTTTCCAACCCCACCATCCATACAGCTCACATGTGGAGAGGAAACTACAGCCACACTTCTAGGTTGAGAAAACCTCCTCTACTACAGGTCCTGTGGAAGCTATTTTACCAGTGAGAAGAACTAGAGCAGGGTGGTAAGGAGGCAAGGAGGGACGACAGACATGATGTAGCGAGAGTATGTACTGTACTCTGTGTCACCACATTGCTCTGGTTTAAGGCCTTGGAAGGACTGACATCACACTTGGAGAGTTTCATTCTGCTCTGCATTTGAAAGTATGGGAGGGTGTGTGGTTAGGGGCCTGGAGTCATCTGTGGCACTGCTTTAGAGGTCTCTTGGTGCCTTTGGGATCACGCTATGCGGTTATGATCAGAGATATGCCAATGCCTCGGGATGTGGACAGCTCCTCCATTCAAAATCGTGGCCTTTGCTGTATCATTGTGTATCTTCGTGGCTTCGGGTGGTTTTGGTTGTCTGTTGTACGTGCTCTTTTGTGCTTTTGGTCTCGGAATTTGTGCCAGGGAACATTGAAGAACTCATTCACATTTTTGTGCTGCTGCAAAAAAAAACTGATACTTTTGTCATTGCAGTTCTGCTGTCTGGGTAAACCATTGAAACATTTCATTTAGGTCAGACCTACTTTGAAAGGGTTGTTGTCACCTGCAAGGTCTCAAAGTTCAGGCCATTTGTGGCAGCTATGATACAGTGACAGTGTGTTTGCTCTACTTTTAACCTTACCTTTTCCCAACTGGCAATCGGGCTTCATTTACTTCAGTGCCCTTTTCCTGTTGCATCCTTATGACGAATATAGCCGAATTGTCTTCACGATTATTTATTTTCATATAACCCTCTTTGCCAAATGGATCAGATGATATTTAAATAGGAACTGTATCAAAATGAACCAAAATAAAAAACGTTTTTCAGATGTCTTTTTCATCTCTTAATACTAGTCCTGGGGTTGGGGGTTTCCATCGGGGTTTCACACACTCACTAGAGCCTCTAGGGGACGCTCTGATGTGGGTTAAGGTTGTGAGAGTCCAGCTCAAGACCTGTGCACTTCATTTGTAGCACCAGCGCTCCCACTAATTGGCTTTGGCTATGGAGATAGAGTGTGTCATGGTTCATTTATCGTTACAATTATTTTGTTCTCAATGGAAATTGTTTTCCGTTTTATTATCTGCAATAGAAGCAAAAAATATTCCAATGCACTGTTCATTCATGCTTCCTTGTATGATAATTAATTATATTTTGACATGTATGCAAATTATACTGCATTGATTTGCTAGGAGAGTAGGGGAGAATATGAGGTGAAAAATGCTGATTTGTGTTTTAGCTGATTTTTTTTTAATGCGCATTTACAGCAAAATACCACAAGTGCCAAATAAATGTCACAAACAACTTCGTCCTCAACGTTTTTCCTCTGTATGCTGCTGTTTTAATGTATTTTTACATTACAGAGATGACAGATCTGACCAATCCAACTTATTTTTGCAAGTATGTGGTGATAGTTGGAGCACACTCATGTGGCAACCTGGCTCCTCACTGACTGTTGGAAGCAATTCTGGCATGTAAAGCTAGCATACTGCCGCTATCGCTTGTTATCAAACAAAGCCTTATTGTGCAAGACAAGCTATTATATGCTTCATTTCCGGGATGGTTGCTGATTCACTGAGGGATAGAATATTTAACCCGATGTAAAAAAATAAAATGGAAAGCTTCCAAAATTGCATCACACATCCTACTGTAGGATTACTTAATGATGAAGTACAATTGATTAGAGAAGCTGTTATGGACATTGTGTCCAAAATATACGTTCCACCTTAATGTACATTTCATCAGGGATCTTCCCCTTCGAAACTGGATTCATGCCATAATTGCATTTAAGTACCACTTGCCGTAGTCCCTTCCCAAAGGACTATGGGAACATGTGTTTCCCATTGTTCATGGTTTTTTCATGTGTTCACACTGACCACACTGACTTTCCCATTATCTCACCGTGCTTGTGTAACTCCACAGGCTCTTTTGTCGAATTTGCAGATTGTGCTTGGATTATATCAACTAAAGCAACTACACCAGTAAAGCAAAAGAGTAAATACGCATTACAGTAACTGTATGGCTGCAGTGGTGTGGTTATTTAAAGGAAGGTTCATCCAAAAATCACTTGCATAGCTAACTGCTAGCATATTTAAGCTATAGCTAATGTTACAGTTTAGCTAATGTGGATTCATGTTTAATCTCACGCTGAAGCATTGGCCTCTTGTCCATGAGTAGATGTCCTACCTTCCTTCTGTGCGTTTATGCCCTCGGTCCATGTAGTTTTGTAGAAATAAAATAGTTCCTACATGAAACTGCTTACAACAATGTCTGTATATCATCTCTAGTAATCGGGTCATGGTTTCTGAAAATAGATATTGCTTTTGAGATCCCTGTTTAGTTTTACGAAAAAAAAATGTCAGCGCTTTGAGCACAAGTGCATTGCCATAAAGATCAATTTTGTTCAAGAAAAGGCAAATATCTCTATGACCGATATCCCCAAAAGGGCTTTCGATTTTAGAGGTGAATTATCCTTTAGTACACTAGAGTTATATGTGTGTATTGTAAAGAAGGAAAAGTACTTGAACAGCCCCTTTGGTAACAGATAAAAAACAAAATACACAGCAGCATGTTAATTAGTCCCGTTAAGCAGTGTTTGCATAGGCCGATTTATTTAACATTAACTCATTGGTATCCCTCGGTTTCTAATCTTTATTCTAAGCTTTAAGCTATATACAATACGACTATATACCTGCTAGCACAAGCTTATAAATGCACACATATGAAAGTGTCTATCATTTATCTCTGTGCAAATTCAAACTATTTATTTTCATTTAACCCCAAATATTGAAATGTTCTACCCATTAGTTGATGGCAACCACGACCAAATCTGATTCCAGTCTGATAAACTGAAAGCTAAAGGAGCAAATTTACTTTTGGACCGAACCCAACTTTTTGTTTCGTAAAAGAACACTTGATCCTTGCGGAATTTTTTTTCCATCCAAAATATGGTGTATGATGAAATGTGTCCCAGCTGCTGTATCTTTAGCCACTTACACAACCTGTGTGAAAACATTATCTTTTTATCTTTTATTTGGCTCAGGTTTTTCACAAGTCCCTTTTTACAACCCACAGGAGTCAAATTCTGTACTCTGAAAGAAAAGGCCAATTTTCTGGCCTACACTGCTTCAAGATAAATGCTGCTTGCAGTAAGGAGTTGCGGGCGTTTTTTAAATCATGCCATTTCCCTGTTTTAGTATGATTTTTTTCTCATTTTGTGGTCAAACCACAAAAGAGACCAGAATAAAACTACCTCTCCATTCGTATTGTAGTGTAAAGTTGAAGTTCACACTTGAGAAACAGGACCTTCCTGAGAAATGATGGATTGAGTGGATTTTCACTGTTGTTGGTAATGTGTTTTGCTGAGCATTTAATCCTTGTAAAATTATATCTATTTTTAAAAGATTCTCATCTTATGAAAATGGTCAGAATAAACCATGGTGAAAATGTAGGTAAGAAAATAAGGTGGTAGAGTTTTAAACCTTGGTTCGCCAAAACAATTATTCTGTTTTGCTGACTCATTTGCTAAAATTACTGATTTAAAAGTGTGTTTCCAATCATTTCACCCTCATTTCTGGTTCACTTCCCA